CTGTCACAGCCAAAAAATACACTCCAAACATGCCGCTGGCACTAGAGGCACAGCATGGCCGCCTAGTAACGGCCCCGACCACTGCCGCTCGACCTGATCGGAAAAAACCGTAGCAGGAAGCTAGCGAAATCACATATATTGTCACATCACTACAAACTAAAAGAGCGCACTTTGCGGAACAAAGAATAAAAGCAAAAAACGGGCACAGTGATAACCTGCAAAAATAAAAAGAAAAAGAAAAAACAAGGGCAGATTGAAACCATTAAATTTATCATTCTTATATATATATATATATTATATATGCACAAGGGATAGAAAAATCAAAGAGGAAGGACAGAATCTTGGCCAGGACATGAAATGTGAATTGAACGAGAGACTGGTCACAACAATATCCTTGTCCACGAACAGGTTGTTGATTGGTCAGCCCACTCCCTTTTTTTCCTTTTTTTTTTTTATTTTTTCGGGCCGTTTCTCGATTAGTGCCAGGTGGCATCCTTGCGCACAGGCCATGCTAATCTTCTTCTTTCTCTGTATCGTTCCAATTTTAACAGATGTCCCGAAGGACAGCACAATCCCTTCGAAACGCCAGTACATCGGCCAGGCAAGCTCGAGAATCGACAAGGAGTCAAAAGTTTGGAGGCTCCGGGCCCCACCGGGCCCAAATGGCTGGCAGTGCCAGCCGAACGAAAAGAAAAGGAGTGCCACGCTGGCGTTCTGGCCCAAATGGCTGGCGTGCAGGGCCAATCCGCTCCCCCCCCCCTCCCCTCCTTCAATAAAAGGAGGAGCCTCGGATGTGTACTGGTGGTTTAAACTTTAAACCACCAGCACTACCCACAAGCGTCCTTTTACCGAGGCGGACACAGAACTGGGCGTCAAGCTTTGCTGAAGTGCCAGAGCGACGGTTCCTTTTTTTTTTGTTTGGCTGCTGGCGCACCGCCCGCCATTTTGGTCCAGTAGCACTGCTCACCTGAGGAATGCGGTTCGCGACAACCTCGTGTCTCTAGTTTGCCTGTGAAAGGTAGTAGTGGCGGTTTAAGGACAACAAAAAATAACTTGTTGGTACAACTGTGAATAGAGAAGTCGAATGATCAGAATGCCCTTTGTGAGATTCTGAATATACTTCAATACATTTCTTCGTCTTTTTTTTTTTTTTTTTTTTTTCAATACATTTCAATTTTCAATAAAAACATGTTTGTCCAGACGACAAGAACGTGAAAAGAGGTGGATGTGTGCTGCACTGCAGAACCTCGTATGGTAGGATTGTGGGGCCTGGGAAGACGTGGCGATTGTAAGTCTGGGTGCGATGGCATCCTCGCACAAAAAGGGGAAAGCAAGCAATCAAGCAAACGACTGATTGTTTACAATGATAGCAAGTTGCAGAAGGGTATTTGGACCGCTTTATTTTTTAACCTAATGGTAGCAAGATCAAATCCTGCTAGAGATCACTGACCTTTCGGTGAGGGATGTAGTGATTCCAAGCGTATCGGGCTTCATCGAGCATAACCAACAATGATCTCTGTGGAAGAAACACTGCTCTTCGCTGCATTGTGGCACAACAGCTATCTTCCTGTAATTTCCCTCCTCTTCCCTCCTCACAGTCCGCACCACAACCGTTTCCATTGCCAAACACTACAGCCTCTTTTATCTTATCATTGTTATCAGTGGATATATTCGGCTGTGCGGCTGGCACAGTTTGCTGAAGAACTTCTCTTTCTGTTCCGATGCCGGCAGTATGACATCCACTAATCGACTCCGGCACCGCCTTTGGTGGCAAGAAGATTGAAGACAAAGACCGTTCCCTGGCGATGTCCTCACTTAGTGCCTCTGCCGCCCGACCGTCTTCCTCCCGTACGCGTTCGTGTTCGCTGGGAACTCCCAAGTCCGCTTCCAAGCCCGAACTGTCCACAGCATACCGCCGGAACTCCATCACACATGGGCCAGCAAGAGAGAGCGAGAGGATCGCACCTTCAAAAGCGGAGTGAGTGTCAATGTGAGGAGATAACCCCACTCCTCGAGGATACTCGTTCACCTGTTCGTAACACCAACGTTGCCACCGTGAGCACACTTGTTGGCACACCAACTATACTTACTACCATCAGCAAGTATTTGGCATGTCGAGTCCCTTCATGAGGACAACAATCAAGCAGTCAACCACTGAGTGTGTGTGTGTGTGTGTGTGTGTGTGTGTGTGTGTGTGTGTGTGTGTG